CTGTGACCTCTTGTAGAAAGAGAGGTCCAAGAGGACAGAAAAGGAGAGCACTCTCGCCCCCCTTACCGCAAATTTGCCAGCCCCCTCGCCGTATGCTCGGTCCAGAGATTCTTAAGGTACCATTTCATGCGCAGCATACTGCCGCAGCAACTCGCTGCTATTGGTTGAAGAATTGTTACTAGATGCTGCAAAATAAATTTCACCATATTTTGCTTCATCGCTGTGAAGTTCAATTGAACGAACAGCAAAGCAGCAGACACGCGATCTAGCCGGCCAGTGCTGCTGCAGCTATTCCTTTTCCATGAGCAGCAAATATGCTTTAGTGAATTTGGATCACGTGACTAATTTGCTGCTGCTGCATGCTGCGTATGAAAAGGCACCTTTAGGTCCATGGTGCGAAATCGAAATTGGCGTTGGCGCGCAGCGATCGAGACGACATCTGCCGGCTGTTGAGCAGAGAGCAGAGAGAAGTTTCTCATCCATATTCCATGGTGGAATGACTGACTCGGATCTCCTTTTGCGCCACTGCAAAACAGCTCAACAGCTGGCTCGGGCTCTCGAGCCGAGTGATGGAGGTTAGGGATGTGGTTGGGGATGTCTCTCGTTGTTATGACAGGCACGATTCAAGTATCAACGTTTTCCAGGGGAATTTCTAATCGACTGTAGCTCCGAGAGTAGTTACTTGTATTAAAATGGACGAGTCCGCGAACGAGCCGGCGGAGAACGGCGCGGACGCATCGACAGCCTCCGTTTCCTTCACCGAGTCGCCCAAGAAATGCAACCTGTCTTTTTCGATTAACTTTGACTTTAACGACGTTAACAGCGAGAACTCGACCGATTCCGAGAATGCGGATCTACAAATTGACATATCCGAGGTGGACACTTACGAGCCGTCCAGCAAGCACAGGCGAGAGGCTGTCGAGGAGGCGTCGATGCTCAATGAAATGGAAGAGGAGATTGAGAGGCAACTCGATGCCAAAGCCGCCAAGACCAATTTGACTGCCTCTAATGTGAAAAATATTTTGAAACACGTCATCCCCTACGAGCATTTAATGACAATGGTACAAAAATGGCTTCAGGATACAGAGAACGACGTCAACATCGGTCCTAAGCTTACGAGAGCCAAAGCCAAGTGCGTATTTCATGATTTTTCGACCAAACAGTTGTCCGTGGCGTGTAATCGATTTGTTCTTTCGTAGGAAATTGGCCGCTGCCAAAGTTAACATACCATGGCCCATCACTACGGCGCAACAAACTTCCTCGGAGGTGCAGGCTTTGATTCAGGAGGAGTTACCGGAAGACTCGTCCGACGAAGAATACAATCCTGAACATGATAAACAGAGTGACGATGACAGAGAGGTGGAAAATACAGCGAGCAGTGACATTGAGTCACGGTTCTCAGCATCGATAAATAACAAGGATGCAGCTTCCTCCTCTGAACAAGTATTATCACATATACAGTATGATTCTGAAGGAATTTTTAAAATACCCGCGTATGTAAACACTTTCTGTATCATGGAATCTGACTGCGAGATCTGTGTCGCATAAGATATACGTATAAATCTAGTTAGCAATCATTATTTCTTCAGTATTCCACACGTTGCGACGGATGAGGAGAGTATTGGCCAAAGGACACGCTCCAAGTTATCTTTAAGCGAAACTTCCTTGGAGGAGATAGAGCAAGCGTTCGTACCACCTGATATAACTGCCGATATGACTGAAGATTGGGACTGTGAGCTTGATGAAGACTGGGACAACTTTTTGAAAGAATTTACACAACCCTTGACGCAAGAACTAGCCGTGGATGATGATCCAGAAGCAGATCCTGAATATAACATCCTGGAGGATGAAACAGATTTACGTATGCCCCTGTTACATTTTGTTTCACTTCTCTTGGTGTGTGTAAAAAATGATATCTTCAACTTGAACAAATGTTATTAGTGGACAAGGAAGAGCTTAGGACAGATAGAGCGGTAGAAGTTCCTCGTAAGGAGCAATATGACTTAATTGCCGAATTACTTGAATTGACTCTCATGTTCTCGACACAAGAACAAGAAGTCGAGAGTTCAAGAAAGAAGAAAGTTCTAGACAATACAGCACCACCGAATGAAAGTGACGCTGTGGTAAGAACAATTGTTTAGCTCTGTAGTAGTAATTCAAATTCTTCAATATTTTTTATTCTTTCAGAATTGCTCCATGGCACGTCTTTTGCCGGTACTTGCAGAATCTGAGCTGCCACAAGTGATGAATTCTGAACAACGTCTTCTATTAGCCACACAGTTTCAGCAACATGTACAATTAATGGCGCAACATTTCGTTATGACTTATATGCATCCAGACTATCATTCGTTGGCAAAAGAGTGTAAACAGAACTTGAATAGTTTAAGGTACTGTGCATACGTATGTCAGAGTATATCGTACAATCGTACAAGCCAGTCGTATTATAAATTCTGATAAGAAATTATTATTAATATTTATTAGATATTTGAGTAATGGGCCTAATTCTGCATTCAATGCCAAGAATTTGGAGACGGCTTTAAAATTGGTATCAATTTGGGAAAATAAGTTTGATGACGCCAAGTTTTGTGCAAACTTCAAGAAGAGTATAATGAGTGAAAGTGCTCAGACTCAAATATATTGTGCAAATAAGTGGCGGTACCTCGAACAATTTCCCCCCGAATTAGAGAAATTATTTGTCGAAAGTAAGGCTCTCATGTACCCACAACTTCTACCATGGACGCCGTTCAGAAGCGGAGCTAAATATGCAAAACCCACATATTCCAAGTCGGAGGAAATGTAAGTGTATAGTAAAATTTTGTGTGTTGCAACGTTTTACTTTACCCCATTTCATTATAGCATTTTCAGTTTAATTGCACTGGGCATAGAACAGTTCTTACCATTTGTTATATGTAAATCAAAGAAGTTTCATACAAAGAAAATGCGATTATTTGATGTAACTCAACTTATCAGTCATCATCTGCTACCATGCAGAGATGCGAAAGGACTATTGAATCATATTATCAGACGACGCGCTTCCAAAGATGAAAATCCAATCAGGGTATTAATTATTTGCATTTTGAATATTTTTGAGATTTATGTCGCAAGTATAATACATTAAATTAAATGATATGTATTTACAGCATTATTTTAAAAAAGGTTACGCTCCTAGAATAATACATTATATAATGCCTGAAAGTAAACTGAGGGCTCCAAAGGATCAGCCAATTGAACTTTTACCTCAAAGGTGGCAGATGTATCTTGTAAGTATAACAATTATAACATTTATGCTTATTTATTACATACACGTACAACACAGCTAATGAATGATTACCTATTTTTCTTATTTATTATTACAGCAAAAAGAGCACAAAAGTAATTTGGCAGACAGTAAATGTTTATTTGATTTTTACAATAATCTCTCGTGTGAAAAAGATGGGATTAACGCAATAATTAAGTCATACTGTAGTATCCCTAATAATCATATTTTACGAAATCCAGTTGTAAATATGTTGCCAAAAATATTACCTGCAAATCCGAAAATATCTAAAATTGATAATTCTACTAAACAAAGTTCTAAATTTGACAATAGTGGCGACAAAAAGGTACTTGATAATACTATACAAGATACGGAGGTGCACAAAAGGAAAACGCCAATACATAAGACGCGTGCAAGCTCTTGCGCCTTAAAAGCAAATACTTCAGATGTAAAGCCAATACAAACTGATCAATCGTCAGATAAAACTAATACAAAATTAAGTACTGTATTAACTAGAAGCTCCAAAATATCCCAGGAATCGCCACAGATATCGTCGGAATTACCACAAATACGAAAGACCACTCCACGATTAGCAAAAACGAGAAGTGCTCAGAATATGAAATTGATGGCCCAAGCTTTAGGTTCAAAGAACTCGTCTAACTGCAGCACTTTAAAATCTAAGGAAAAAGATACCGCAGATAAGAATATTGACAAACGCTCCTCCACGTCATCAAAAGTTGTAAGTTCTGTCTTAAATTTTATCTTGGAAAGAAATATTCAACTAACAATAAACGTGCTTTCTCTTCGCATAGGATAATGAAGAAGAAATAGCAGAATTAATGTTAGCGAGTAGCACAATAATAAAAGATCCTGTAAGTAGGAAAAAGGCTAAGCAAACTAGGGAATTAGAAATTATTAAAAGATTATTAAAATCGGAGAACCCATTGACTGAAGAAGAACGCGAAGCAAGTGAGTTAGTCAAGTTAAAGTTATTGCGTAATGAAATAAAATTTACTCGTTATTTAACGTCTGTATCTATTTTTTATAGAATTTGCAGCGTCGTATCTTCAAAAGCTGCACTTGATATTAGAATCGAATAATCCAGAAACATTTAAGGCTGTGATAAAGTTATATTTGGATTACAGTGAAAAGTTAGAAAATATTAACCATACTACTGTTGACCCGTCTATAATTGATGGATCTCAAGAATTTTCCAATAAACAGAGGTCACAGGATAGCGCGATTAAAAAAGATATACTAACGGTCCAATTGTACCAAGAGGTCTGTAAAAAATTACAGGATTACCCAGAAATATGTACAGATTTTCTATTATTTTTAAAACCGCATCAAGCTGCAATGATTGGTAAATCTATGGAATATATGATGTTACAAAAAATGAATGACTTTGTCCATGTTGCACAAATATACTTTGCTAAGCAACCATCTCGCATAGCAAAGATGATGCAGGCAATTACACAACTTTCGTCTGATCCACACACGACTTTAAAAAACGTGTATTCCGTTATGAGCTCCGTTTTTAAAGGCCATCCACTCGTCATGGATATGTTTTTGCAAATTCTACCTACCGCAAAACCACCTGAAAGGTAATCATTTTTATATAAATGGAAAGCAATGCATTAGACATTGTTATAATTTTCTATCGTGCTCTAAATCTAATGAATAAGACGAGCAAAATTATAATTTAAATTATGTACCTTTATTTTGTAATTCATATCACACAAAGGAAATATTTCGGAAATGTATTGATATATATATGTATATATAATAATTAAGAATTACCTCGACAAAATTATTACGTTACACAATTTCTCACTCTCTATACTAGTTGTATTATTTGTAAATCAAGGAACCTCAATTGTTATAGAATTGTATTTGATATTTTTCTTTTGTCTATAGTTTACTTGGATCTCATATGTTTGAAAACATGACGTGTCCGTTAGGACCCTATGATAAAAATACAATTTATACTGAAAACGCATCAGAGCTATACGAGAACATAGAAGTACCAACGGCAACGTGTCAGGAGGATCCATATGGCGGGGAGAATTGTAAATGTGACTGTCATAGTACCGATGAAGCAAATCTGAAAAATAATTCTGAACACTGTGTTTCCTGTGGTACACGGGTATGCGTCATATGGCAACATTTAATCACTTGGACTTTTGTTCTGTTTTTCTTATTATAGATGTCGATTCAATTTACTTGCAATTTACTCTGTTTCTTTTCTTAAACAGTTTCTTAACGGAAGAATTTATCTTCAAACACCTGAAGGATTACGACCTGCAAAGATTACGTTTCCCGGGGAGGATCGGGAGAAATTTGACAATATCGCGCGTATATCATTAAAAATTGCTGATAAAGCCATTGCACCAATCTCATCGAAAAAACGACGAAAGTCGTCAAAGAATGATGCTAATCGCGAGGATATTTGTCAGAAACAATGCGCTACGAAACAATACTCGCCGTTGAAAGATAACGAAGATAATGAAAAGGCAATAGCAAAGTCGAAGAAAAATGTTAAATTTACTACACTTAAAACAGATCAGAGGAAAATTTTGAAAAGAATAGGCACTGTAGATCACGTAATCGCAGAGAAAAGAATGCGTATATCTCAATGCAAGAATAAGCGAGAGAAAAAGATTGAAGAAAGCGATGCTTCAATAGAACAAAACGAGCTGGATGTTATGAAACCAGAGAAACCGAGTGACTTTACGGAAACAGAAATTAACAGTTGTACACAGTTATCGATGCAAGAGAATTCCTTGAGTAGTACTGAAGTAATTACGAAAACGCAGATTTCTTCCAATGTGAGCAATAGTACTGCTTGTAGTTCAAGTAAGTTTCATTTAAATTATATTATTCTTAAAGAGTATTCTTTGAGTGATGTTACTCAAGTAATATACTTTTTTAATATTTTAATAGGCAATAAAAATGTAGACGCAACAATTACAACAATACCACTAGAAAATAATATCCCGTCGAAATCCGATTTAATTAAAAACAAGCCTTGGACACGTCAGGAAGATATGATTTTGCTACAAAGTATAAAAAAGGAATATTCTGAAAATGCATTCCTACTGATTAGTGAAAGATTAGAAGATCGTACTGTCAATCAGGTAATATTTGTCTTACTTTTCATTTTAAATTATGTTTTACACACACATACACACACATGAAATAATTAAATTTCTTATTATAGGTGAAAGAGAGATGCCAAACTTTGCTTTCCTTACTGCAGAAAATGATGTAAATATGTACAGATCTATGTATATTATAAACTTGTGATTTTGTATTTTAATGAAAAATATAGCAGGAGTTTTTACCTTATGTGCGTCAGTGTACACATTTATGTATAAAATTTATCAGGGTTGGGAAGTAACTCGTTACTTGTAACCAAGTTATAGTTACAGTTACTTCTTTTTGGCAACTCTAATTTAACTTCGTTACTTTCTCTCCATCTGTAACTGTAACTTAACTCGGTTACATTTTTTCGATAATGTCTATATATGAATGTTCTCATAGTAAAAAATTCTACAGATATAAATCTGTAGAAATTTGCAATGAGAATATATATCTCTAAATAATACACAAAGATCATCGACTTCTAGATCTAATGAAATGAGTTTAAGAAATGCATATCCTGTGTTTTCTCTGCAAGAATTGCATATGTGAGAATCATATATGTATTCGTAAAACAAGTACGGCTCTCGTATATATGATTCTTTTTGACAGAACAAAGTAGGCATCTTTTAAACTTGTTTTACTAGATCTAACAAGGGCAACACCAGGCAGCATGCTCACCGATTTCGCTGAGCACTAATTAGTGGGAGGATGGACTTATTATAACATACTTCAGGCTCAACGAAATCAGTGAGCATGCGGCCTGGTGTTCCCCTTGTAAGAATAAGGGAAGAATTATTTATTTTTGGAGAATAAAAAGTTAATACATGTTTACATATATATTTATTTATCACTATATACCAGACAAAGATGGATGGATGAAAATCGCTGAAGAATTTGAAACAATCTGGAATTTTCCCCATTGTATTGGCTATAGATGGGAAACATATTCAGATAGAAGTAAATGTTTAATGAAGCTTTCCTTGTATGTTTCATTTCAGTAAATATCAATAATATTATTAAAACTTGTAATTATAGGCTCCACCTCACAGCGGTTCCACATATTTCAATTATAAAAAAACTCATAGTATAAATCTTACTGCTGTTTCTGATGCACGCTACAGATTTATTTTGGTCGATGTATAGGAGCGGAAGGTCGATGTAGTGATGCAAGAGTATTCGCTAACAGTGCATTAAAAGCAAAATTTGAAGAAAATACTTTAAAAGTACCTCTACCTTTTAAAATTGGCCAGTATAAATTACCATTCGTTTTGATAGGTGATGAGGCGTATCCATTATCACATTATCTGATGCGTCCTTATCCAAGACGTTCACAACTAGACCTAACAAAAAAGGTTTACAATTACCGTCAAAGCAGAGCAAGAAGATTTGTTGAAAGTGCTTTTGGTATCCTTGTAGCACGCTGGAGAATTTTTCGAAGACCAATTAACACATATGTGAAAAAAGCTGAAATAATGGTGTTAGCCACTTTATGTTTGCATAATTTTATTATTAGTAAAGAACTTCTAAAGCATTCTAGAGATAGAAGATATTTAAATTGCACTAATAACGACAAACAACCATCGCTTGCTATTCGGAGTATGAGAAAGCAAGTGGACAATGTATCTTCCAGTAACTTAGCACGCGTCTATAGAGAGAAATTCGCCAATTATTTTATGAAAGAAGGTGCTGTAAATTGGCAATGGGAAAAAGCTGTAAACAATGAATTCTAAATTTTGACAATGATTTGTAGAATTAAATTATAATAAATAATATCGAACACACATATTAGCAAATACTTTTTTACTTATCTTAATCTAACTTTGTACATTTATGACTTATAATTTTAGATATATTTTAATTTTGGAACATAATAATTTCATGTCTTACAATATTTTCTATATAATTAATTGAAATAAACAGGAACAAATGTAACAAACTAAGGATTATAAATGAGTTATTTAGTAAATTATATTATTTAGTAAATAATCCTGCTCTTTCTTCCGCTTTGTAAGCTGAATCGAAAATTTCTTTTTGAAGAGCTCTGCTTTCTTTGTACGGTAATCTTCTCAAAATGTCACCCAAATGAATTAAGAATCCATCGATGCCATCAGTAGGCTTATTACAGGTACACTGCGGTAGAATGTTAACCAAATGCTTCTGAAATTCTACGTCTTCAGATTTCTTCCTTGGACCTAAAACATAACAAAAATATTAAACATAAAACTTACTTGATAAAAATACAGTAAATACAGGGTGCGGCAGCATAACTTCCTTTTTTCAAAACTTAATAAAACCCATTGTATGAATCAGAAAATTTTTATTTGTTTTTTATAATGTAGGCACATACATAAAGTTTTGTTTTACTCAGTTTTGAAGATCAAATCAGGTAGGTGACGTCCCCCATTCTCCATACACTGAGTAAACCGATTTCTGGCGTTTGTCATGACTCCTGCCAGCATAGCAGGCGTTATGTTGGCAATTTCTTCCTGGATGTTAGTCTTCAAATCTTGTAGGGTCCTTGGACGGTTCACATAAACACGGGATTTCAAAAAACCCCATAGAAAAAAATCACAAGGGGTCAAATCGGGAGAGCGGGCCGGCCACTCCAAATCGCCCCTAATTGAGATGAGGCGCTCTGGGAAGTGTTCCCTCAAAACAGTCATCGATGCTCTTGAAGTGTGTGCCGTTGCACTGTCTTGTTGGAACCAAGTGTCCCCTAAGTCCAACTCATCTAGCCGTGGGAAAAAAATTCCTGTAACATGTTACATCCCAGTCCGAATTCACTGTCACTGTGACTTCATTTTCCTCAAAGAACCAGGGACCAATAATTCCACCTGAGGAAATTGCACACCACACTGTGACTTTAGGTGAATGCAAAGGCCTTTGATGCAATTGTCGAGGATTGGTGTCAGCCCAGTAGCGCATGTTTTGTTTGTTGACGGATCCACACAAATGAAAATGGGCTTCATCACTAAAAAAAACAATAGCGTCCTCAGGAACGACTTCCAGAAGAACCTCACACGCGTTCCTCCGAGAATTGAAGTCACGTTCAGAAAGTTCCTGCACAATTGCCATCTTGTATGGATGGAAATGAAGATCATCATGAAGAATTCTCCTCACAGAACGATCGGAAAATCCAAAGGCAGACGCATGTTTGCACGCAGAACGCCGTGGTGATCGTAACATTGAAGCTCTCACTGCCTCAATGTTCTCAGGTGATCTAATGGGCCGAGGGACTCCAGTTCTTCGTCTTGTCGCACTTGCAGTTTGTCTGAACGTAGTGACCCACGTAACAATTGATTTCCGGTCCGGGACAGGGGCCAACGGGGCTAAATTAAAGCGATTTCGAAAGGCGCGCTGGGTTGCGATCACAGAACATCCGCTCGAAAAGTAGGCCTCAACGGCAAACGCACGCTCCTCACTGTTCCAACGCATGATGGCGACTGAACTGTCTTTTTCTTCTTCTTCTAATTATGGCTCCCGGCACCTGATAAACGGTAGCCGATACGGTCACGACAAACCAATAGACGTAGTTGAATTACAGACACTATAGAATTATAGACGACTTTGGTGATATGTACAAAGCAGGGGTCCGACTAACGGGCCTCGCGCGGGATGATGCAACCCCGCAGGATCAAAAATTTTTCTTCCGTCGGAAGACGTGTTAACTGCTCGACGGCCCAGACGGGACTTTCCGACTGAACTGTGTCGGGACAAAACTTTATAGTCCCGCCTCTCGAACGAGACCACTAGCGCTCCGCTACGACATCAACCGACTAAATGACGCACATTTTAAAAAAGGAAATTATGCTGCCGCACCCTGTACATTAAAATAAGATGCTAACGATATGATGCATATTTTTTAAAAATGTCTTACGCAAACTTACGTTTTGTATGCTCGATGAAGCTACTTTTATCAGAAATATTGCTATTGATTCCAGATGTGCTTAAGGAGTTACTGTCTTCCATCGGTTCTTCAATTGTGTTAACATCTGAAGCAATGGACATCGAAAGAAATTCATTTAAGTCGCATGAATAAGACCTTTTTTTTGCAATATTACTTTTTGTGCTGAAAAATATAATATTTGTTTAATAAAATATTTTGTCCATCATTTAAAAAATCATTATTTATCGTTTTTATACACTTACGGCCTAGGCTTCACTTTATCAATCAAAAACAACATGCTTTCATAATGTCGAAAACTACTATCATCATTTGTAGTAGGCGCTGCTGAACCACTAGGTAGATATGTAGTTTTCTTCTTCTTTGCTTTATTGAAAGAGTCTCGTAGATTTCTCCAACGTCTCTTAACATCTTCTAAAGTGAATTTATAATCTAAAATATATGAGTTATTCATTACATAAGTTTCTAATGGTAAAAAAATTAAATGTTCCAAAATATTGTAACGGCTCTCCATAAAATAAAATTAGGAAGGAAGAAAGGGCCAATGCGAGCCAACAGCAGGTGTAAGTGCGATATTGTCAAATATTTAGACCAATTTATTCAGAATTCCAAACGTTTCGACCCGTTTTTGGGTCATCCTCAGTGAAGCTGATTAAATAAATAACTTAAAATACCACTGTCTCCGAGAAATATCTTCCGACAAGTTCAAATGCGTTTTTTTCTTTTCTCGGAGACCAGTGGTATTTTAAGTTATTTATTTAACCAGCTTCACTGAGGATGACCCAAAAACGGGTCAAAACGTTTGGAATTCTGAATAAATTGGTCTAAATATTTGACAATATCGCACTTACACCTGCTGTTGGCTCGCATTAGCCCTTTCTTTCTTCCTAAAATTAAATTTACTTTTTACTTACCTTTTAGTTCTTTTAGAACTTCTAACCATGCTTCTGCATTTAATGTACTTCGCTTTTTTACATCTATTGTGTGATCCCATAAACAAGGTCTCATCTGAACTGCAGTAATTAAAATTTCTTCAGCTTCGAGCCAATGCTTGTCTTGTTTGTTTCGACATTTTTTCTTTTCTGTTGGTGGATTATCGTAACTCTCTTCTGTTTGACCATCTTCACCAGTTTCACCTATAACATCAAAATCATTATAATGTACTTCCGATTCTTGTGGTAATTCCTCCTCCTCAGGCATTGTCTCTGGAGAATTTTTAGCAGAGCTTAATCCACCTACAATTTAAAAATAGAACATATACATATTTATGATAGATAACATATATTTATAATATTATTTGTGTATGCATATAATTATAAAGTGATACAAAATTTCCATCAAATTCTATTTAGCACGATAGAAAATTTACCTTTAAATAAACGATTTTTTTCATCCACATAAAATGTTTCCTTTTTGAAATCCATGCATGAAAAACATGAATGTTCCGTATAATCGAAGTTCTGTTTTGGCAGCATAAAATTGCAGTAAAAGCATTGATCATGGAGAATGTATAAGGAGACCGAACTGCCTGTAATCAGAATGGGCCGATGTTTGTGCCCGCCAGACGTTCTGAAAAGCAATACTGGGAGCACTGTCATCAACTAACTCCATTCGCATTCGTACGTGACCACTGAAATATATACCAGAGAGAAACCTGAGAGCGGCCATCCCGGCGTTTTGCCTGTTACCGTTTTCGCTGGACTGATTCCAACGCTTTACGCCCATTTCCAATTTTGGAACTATTCCGCTACACCCATTTTCAAGTACTGCCGATAAAGTCTCCACTTGGTGCGTGTCCGTGGTTGTATTCCGTGCTGCATGCATGAAATGTCGGTAATAGGAGAGTGTTATTGATTTTTCGTAACGGGAGCGAGCGAGAGGTATAAGTATAACCTTCTCGCTCGCTCCCGTTACGAAAAATCAATAACACTCTCCTGTTACCGACATTTCATGCATGCAGCACGGAATACAACCACGGACAC